ATTACTACGACGTGCAATGCTAACCGGTGTTCGAGATGGTTGAAAGAAAGTTAGGGGCGGCCATACCAAAACGTGGCATCAGTGGTTGAAGTCACTAACTTGTAGTCTGAGCCATGTTGGTAGATGCAGACTACTTGGTTGGGGTCTGCGTGACTATCGTAACCAATGGTAGGAAACTGTAAGTGACATGGCTCAAAATCGATCACAGTGGTATAGGTGTATACACTTTGTCTTCCCTTAAACTAAGAGAATAAAATCACTTCATATCTTTCTTTCTACGTAGTAATTCTTTCTTCCTGTACTATATCCTTATATGCAATCTTTCTTTTATATATTACCCCCATTGAATTAACTACTTTTATGAATCCGGTGTCCATCTTGGTGTACTAATGAGTGAAGTATGACAACTTGAACCGATGCATATATGTGCTTGTTCCTACGTTGTAGCTGACTGACTGACTGAATCCATATACACATGAATAAATAAGACTATCATAACCATTATATTTAATACGCCTAAAAAAGATGTATTTTTCCTTTTTGCTATTTCTATTAACTACTTTGATATATACATTATAGAAATACAATATATTGATTAAGAAATCCGATTATAATCTACCCCTAGTTTTACTTTGTTTAACGGAAATCAATAAATTTGATCTATTCTCCGTATGTTTTTCTAATCGTCTTTGTTGTTGTTATAGATCAATATAATCTAATTGTCATTTTTCTTTTTAGGCTTAATGAAAATTACAAACAATTATGTCTTATTTTAGAATCTATTCATATGATATTAGAGATTTATTATTATTTTTACAGTCACACTACTTAGATTATAGATTTGATGTTTTATTTATTACCGCCTATCAATTGAGATCTAATTGTGTTACTAGGGTTTCACTTATTATTATTATTATTATCTCTAACATCTTTTTATCTCATATGGTTTTTAATTGTAAAAATTATGGAACAGTGGCTGAATGGTTAAATGGTGGCCCCCCAAGTGTTTGGTACGGCCGAGGGTGGGGAGAGTCAGCTCTCCCTCTTGAAATGCTCTCACATGGTTACGTGTATACAGTCATTGTCGAAAAAGTGCTACTCACTGCCTTCTTGAAGTAGGGGGTGTCATTTACGAATTTGAGAGGACGAAAAGCGAATGTCCGGTGCTTCAACCGGGTTGGTGGATATGGAGGATCCACCTAGAGGAAGTTGGAAAACCTTTAGTTTGTTGGGGTTTTGTTCTCTGATCTGGATGGTTTGATCGTGGAGCTTCTACCTGAAGTTTGTGCTGTTGATATCGTTCAGAAGAACGATCACTCACCTGAGCTACAAAACCCTGATTCCAAACCAATGATGCACTTGGGCTCTAGGATCCTGAAGGAACAAATGGCGTGTAAACCAATTATTAATCACTGGCTACTATGAGACTGCATGTCCTAAAGTTCCTCCACTGCCTTGTAGATCAGACCTTTAGGTTGAAGGCTCGGAGTGTGGCCACCTAAGAAAACCGCCTGCTTCTGTTTGGGCACCCTGGCAGTATCACAGCCCACACAAAAATCAAGTGACTTGTGTGGCGCATATGTATTCGGTGCCCCTTTGTACCAATATTTATGTGTTTAAATAATAAAAGAATGATTAAAATGTTCGTTCTCAACCGATAGGTCTCAGATTCGAACCTTGTTCGACTCAGTTTAGTAGTATCATTGAGTCTTGCATAGAAAGAATATGGTTCGAAGTCGGAATGCATATAAATTTGTGTTTTGTAAATGACTTAATATATTTATTTATTTACTTGAACACATAAATATTGGTACAAGGGGGCACCAGATATATGTGCGCCACACTGGTGCGTGTAGTTTCAGAGAAGCTCTTTAAGTATTCGTATTTGAGGGTAGCATTCAATTTTCAACCAGTCAGTGACTCGAGAACGTTTAGATAGAACCGAGTTTCCACCATAGGCAAGCTGCTGTATGAGTTGAAAAATAAGGATACACAAAGTGGGAATAAAAGAGGGTGAATAAGTGACGTAGTAAATAATGATAATAATAGTGTGAATTGTTTGACTGTTAATCGAAGCGAGAATAGTATTTTCAGTAAATGTCGTCATTTCATTCTATTTGTGTGTGGGCTGTGATACTGCCCGGATGCCCAGACCGAAGCAGGTGATTTTCTTAGGGGGCCACACCCCGAGCCATTGATCTAAAGGTCTGACCCTTAAGGCAGTGGAGCATCGTGAGGAAATGCAGTTCCATGGTAGCCGGTAACCAACAATTGGTTCCTTCAGGATACCGGAGCTCATGTGAACCATTAGTTTGGAATGAGGATTTTCCAACCCCCCTATGTGGACTCTCGGTGCTCACCAAACCAGTTAAAGCTCAGGAAATTCGCTTTTCGTCCTCTCAATTTGGTAAACAACTCCCTCGCCACGAGAATGCAGTGAATAGGACTTCCTTGGCATAGGCTATATACGCGTGGCCATGTGAGAGCATTTCGAGAGGGAAAGCGGTCCCTCTCCACTCTCGGCCATACGAGGGCATTTGGGAGCCATCTATTTGATATGTGGATAAATTGTAATCAAAATTTGTTCTTTTTTTATGAAATTGAATGGTCTTGGTAATTGAATAAATCTATATTAATTATCTATTTTATTGGTCACAATGATTATTAACCGATTAAATAGATAAAAGCAGAAAGAAAGAAGGAAAGAAAGAGATTGTTATAATCTCTTTAGTTAAGAGTTGAATTCTCAGGTCAATTCACTATCAATCAATTTAGTGTATGAATATCATAAACAAAGTTTTAAGTTATTTTATTATTCATAAGATTTGATTGGTATATCTCTAGAATATTTGGATAGTTGTAAGCTTTAAAACCTATTATTCGTATATAATTTCGTGGCATATATCTTAAAGACCCTAAATACCCTGGTATGGACGGCGGTAGGGAAAGTCAGCTCTTTCTCTCGAAATGCTCTCATATCGCCACGTGCATAGAACTACTGCTAGGGAAGTACTACTGATTGTCTTACACACAAATCAAGTGACTTATGTATCGCATATGAATTTGGTGCCCCTTTGTACCAATATTTATGTGTTCAAATAGAAATATATCTTGAAGCTCCACGAGTTTCTTACAAAGATTTAAGTTCTTTTTATTCAATGCTACCATAAGATATTACTACTTTCGTTTTTTCATTAATTATCTAACTCATTTGCCTTAGACAAATGCGTGTATTTAGCTTCAAGCCACTCTCCAAATCTAAGAATTGATGATATTACCTGGTAGTCCAAATCCTTCGGAGACAACGATGATCAAACACAGAGAGTCGTGTAACATCCTCAACTCGGAGAGGCCAGGTTTCACAAGCATAGAGCAAAACTGCTCTCACCGACGCGTTGTAGATCCGACCTTTTACAACCAAACTGACATCACAAAGGCGCCAAAGATGGCCCAGACTGTCATAAGCCACTCTGCCTTTCATTATACGTGAAGCGATCTCACCACTCAACAACTACATAAAGATAATTTGAATGACAAGTTTATCAGTTGTTTGTTCATAATAATGTAAAAGTGTTTAGTATACCATATCTCTGACTTGAATTCTTACGGTTCCATCCCAATTTATCCCCAGTGACCAGTTGACTTGATTCCTCCTATTTCTCTATACCCTCCCCCAAATAGTTAATGAAATTTTTTTCCACTGTTTTTCTTTGTTCTAGGGAATGTTTTGTAAGAATATGTCATCTATGTCTAATATTGTAATCATATATATTTCAACACTTGAACCTTATTGTGTTGTACACGTTATTGATTTATTTAAAGTGTTACTTAAATTGTCTATTTATAAGTTTCAATAGTTGAAATCATGAGTCAATTGAAGCTAGACCACCATCGAAAACTAGGAAGCACTGAATGGCCGTTTCGTCCTAGTATGGGACTCCTCAGCAGTGGTGATCTGGTTTCAATTGACACATGATTTCAACTATTGAGATTTTTAAAATCTCCGAAAAACCCCTTCTGATATTTATAAATTGTTAAACATTACTTCAAATTGTCTATACCTCCACTCAATAGCTCCTAGTTTTTATCCCTATCACCGTCACTTTTCTTTATGTAACAGTGAATATCATTAGAAAAAAGGAGCTAAATTATAGTATAATTGCAGTGAACAAGAACACGACTGGGGATAATTGATTGTTTTTGAAAAGAAATTACAGAGCATCTCATTAACATTTGAGAACCATATAGTGTAAATAGTTAATTTGCAAAATATCTATCCATCGTCTCAATCTAGACTGTTCCTTTTGTAAATATTAATCCTTTGTCTCAGATTTCATTGTTTATGCATTTTCATTCCAATCGCGTTCCGTTCCTATTCTTTCCTTACCGATTCTCTACTAAAATACATTCTATGCCTGACCATCGTTATATACTACTTATATGGACATAAGTAACCCACACCACACTACTGCATTATAATAATCTCTTGTGCTATTTCCATATTATCGTGCTAGTGTGGTATGGCCACCCATGTCAGACTATGTATGCTGATGATGCCTTTCTTGATAAAATCAGTATAATTTGATATGGAAATATAGTACAAAAGTGAATGAATCCAAGATTCTCAACTGAAATACATTCTATGCCTGACCACCTTTATATACTACTTATATGGATATAAGTAACCCACGCACTTGACAATCACCATAACAACTCATGTACTTAATGATAATAAATCCCAAGTTGATTATATTACCACGCTTTTACGTTTTTGCTTTTTCTAGTGTGTTTTTTTAATGTTGAAAACTTTATGGTTTAATACTTTCCATTTTGTTTTTTTTCTTACTACAAACAAACAATCAAACCAAATCAATCAAACTGAAACAAACCAAACAACCATCATTCAAACGAAACGAACAAACCCAACAAACAATCAAACGAACCAAACAAACAATCAATGAATCAAATTGAAACCAACCAAATCAAACAAACATATATAGCTTCTTTTACGACTTCAAGCATTAGAAAGTGGTTATCGTCGTTTACCACATTCATGTGATACAGAGAAATCTCGTATGATTATATGTAAAAATCCAATTAATTGTCCAAATTATTATCCACGTGAACCATTAACTGGTACTGATAATGAAGAATATTATATGAAATTAGATGCACAAACATTATTTTTTATATTTTATTATTTTGAAGGTACTAAAGCACAATATTTTGCTGCTAAAGCATTAAAACGTATGTCATGGAGATTTCATACAAAATTTATGATGTGGTTTCAACGACATGAAGAACCTAAACAAATTACTGATGAATATGAATCTGGTTCATATATTTATTATGATTATAGAACAATGAGACAACGTAAAAAAGAAGAATTTATGTTTCATTATAGTTTTTTAGAAGATAAAGATTTTTAAACTAAACAACTTCTTGTTATTGTTACTGTTGTTGTGATTTATCACATATCTCTACCCTTTGAACAACATGAGTAACTGTACAATTGACTTGTATATTGTATAAAAAAAGGAGAGAGGGGGGAAGAATAGGTGCTTTCACATTTGTTTGTTTCTTTGTTTGCATTTGTTTGCTATTTCATTGTGTAATTCTCTTGTTTTCTTTTCTTTCCTTTTATTTTTCCCTCCCCTCCTCTCCCCCTCCCTTCTCCATTTTCCTTCAGTTATTACATAAATGCAGCTATTTACAATCTTTTGAACTGTTGATTCATTCTTCTCTCTTTTGTTGTTGTTGTTATTATTGTGTGTATAACATTATTATTATTAATATTGATAATTATCAGTGATATTATTAGTACCTATATATATATATATATATATATATATATATATATATATATAATTTATCAGTGTTTCGTCGCTCAAAATTCTTTCTTCGTCAAGTGTAAATCAATCAAATTCATAGAAATTATTAGTCAATCACAAATCTTTATTATTTCCCAATGTGTATGTGGGTGTCTCTTTTCTAATCTTTTGTCTTTATCAATGAATTGTGTAGAAATTGTTTTCTTTTTTGTTGTTGTTGGATTAGTGTAATTTCTTCGCTTCGTTTATAGTCAGAACTTATATATATATATATATATATATGTATGTATGTATGTATGTATGTATATTGTAATGTATATGTAAATGTGCATAGAAACAACTGAACTGCATTTAAAACACATACTCGATATATATATATATATATATATATATATATATTCACTCCAAATCAATAAAGTTCTCTTTTTTTTGATTTTTTTCTCTAAAGAAAGAAGAAAAAGAAACAATCGATAAATGCAAATAAATATTACATAGAAATACTAGTTCTATCTTTTATTGTTGTTCTTGTTATTATTTCTTATATATATATATATATATATATATATATATATATATATATATATATATATATATATATATATATATATATATATAACTTTACCATTTAATAGATTATTCAGTATGTTTTGATAAGTTTCAATTCACTTAGTATTATTATACTTGGATCTATTCATTGATATCTTTAGGACTAGAATTGATCAATTTCTTATAAGTGATTGTCATTTCATTCTGTTTGTGTGTGAACTGTGATACTGCCCGGGTGCCCAGACTGAAGCAGGTGGTTTTCTTAAGGGGTCACACTCCGAGCGTTTGATCTAAAGGTCTGACCCTTAAGGCAGTGGAGCATTGTGAGGAGATGTATTCCTATGGCAGCCGGTGACCAACAATTGATTCCTTCAGGATACTGGAGTCTACGTGCACCATTGATTTGGGATCCGGTTGAATCGCCGAACATTCGCTTTTCGTCCTCTCAATTTCGTAAACAACACCCCTGTTAGGAGAAGGCAGTGAGTAGGACTTCTTTAGCGGAGGCTGTATACGCGTGGCCATGTGAGAGCATTTCGAAAGAGAGGGCGGGCTCACTTCACTTTTGGCCATACCAGGGCATTTGCGGGCATATATGGATCCTGTGCAGATTGCCTCGATATAGCCTTAAATCACAAGTATTATAAGGAAAGATGAATGGTGGCTAAAAGTGGAATCCAGGATGCACGTTTTGTCTTATCTTGGGACTCGTCGGCTACATGTTCTTGCATCTCAGAGTTGTTGTTCACTTTGGAACTCGGACCCTGTACCGTTCGGTTCAAACGCTATCGCGTTGTACACTTAACTACTGATTTCTGATAGCTACTTGCTTGTGCAATGGGGTGAAGTTTAACTTCACTTAATATTATTTTACTTGGATCTTTACATCTATATTTAAGACTGCAATTGATCAGTATCTTATTGTCATATATGTGTACTGTGCGTATTACCACGATATTGTCTTAATTCACAAGCATTGTAAGCAAAGATAGATGGTGGCCATTAGTGGAATCTAGCTAGGACGCGGTTCCGTACTAATTGTGACTAGTTAGTTGAATGTGCCCACACCGCAGAGTTGATATTCACTAACCATCTTTGCTTATAAAAGTTGTCAAATAGTCAAGACTCATGAATTTGATTATAAACCATTTGTCAATTTCGTATCACCTAAGATATTCAGTCAGTCAACTACAACGTAGGACCAGACACATATATGGATCGGTCCAAGTTGTCATACTTCATTAACACAGCACATACCCACAAACCTCAATATGTTAATGTAGATTTCTTATTTGTTGTACTACTGAAGTTGTGTACCTTTAAAGGCTGATGTTCTTTGTCCAAATAAACAATTAAATCACTGACTAGGATAACAAAGATGACTAAGTGTTATTCTGTTGGGGACGTTAGATCTCCAGAACTCACTTGGGAAAGGACCTAATTCTGTAATTTTATTTAGAAAATTTGAATTTCTTTGGTTCCGCGCCAAAAGCGCTCTTGTCACCTATATGTCGTATTTCTCAGTGGGAAGTTACTTATATGCTGTTTGTCCATTGCGTCTTTTAGTATGCTATTTGGTAACAGTCCCCAAGGACGGTTTTATACTGTATATATACGTTTTGAATTGTGTTTGTTGTTATCCCTCGTTTCTGGCTGTTTGCAGAATATACTTCCTCATTCCAAGCTTGGACTTCTCCCTCTAGTTAGCGGGGCTGGGACGCATCAATAGCTAGCTTCCTGGTCTTTGGTCACGGAGTCTTGTTTCTCGTTCGCAGATTAAGTGAACTCGTTATAGCTTCAACCCTAGCATATTAAAATATAGTGATGAATCAATCAGAATCGAGTAAGTGGATTCTCACGCTAATCATAGAAGTGGCTGAATTGTATGGAGTTCCAATTGTTTAAAATTCTTTTTTTTTGTTGTCGTTACCATAAAGTAAAAGTGATAGCTTGATAACGTACGTCAAGTGGTTACTTTATGGAATACAGTTTGTACAATAAATGGTTGTTTCAATTTACTTTCTTACTGGTAATACCTGAGTTGTTAAAGTAGATGATGTTTTCACTCTTGACTTCTCTCCTAACTTTTGAATAAATTAGTATGAAGTATATTATACTTGGATCTTCCCATTGATGTCTTTAGGACTGGAATCGATCAGTCTCTTATAAGCATATGTGGATCCTGTGCAGATTGCTTCGATATAGCCTTAATTCACAAGTATTATAAGGAAAAATAGATAGTGACTAGTAGTGGAATCCTGGTTCGAGTTCGGTGTTAACATGAACTCTGAGATGCAGGTGCATCATGCTGACAAGTCCCAAATACGACAAAACATGCATCCTGGATTCCACTGCTAGCTACTATTCATCTTTGTTTAAAAATCATTGAAATCTTGTTTAGTGATTTTTGAGGAGTTGACTCTGGATTCATACGTCCAAAGTACATGCCTCATTTTAATGTATTGAAAAGTTGCGTCGTATCACTGCAATCCTTATAAAAAGTGTAGCTGAAAGCCGAACACATAAACATTGTCTTGATAAATGAGTTAGCTTTATGGTCAAAACCATGCTAAAACTATTTATTGTAATTAAATAAAACTAGTTATTCTTTGTGATTGAGAATGCTAGTTGTATAATAAGGGATTCCAGAAGGACGATTCTTTCTACTAATTAAAAGAAAAGCGTAAAAGTCAGCGATTTATCCTGTTCTTTTATGATACATTTATTCAACGTGATTGTTTGTCACACGAACATCATGTAGACATACTGTGGATACAATTGATTGTTAGTGTTATTAGGATTGTAGTAGTTAGGTGTTGTCGTTAAGTGTTTAGATATCACGGTGTTGATTGATTACGATAGTAGAATTCAATGAATTCTTAGATGTCGACAGTTATAAGAATCTAGATTATGAAATGTAAGCCATGTTAATGGAGTCTGAGTGATTGATTATTGAACATCTGTAAAATATTAAATGAAAGTACTTTGTGATTCCACGTATTCTTTGTTTAAGTGTAACTGCTTAACATGCATAAACTGAAATGTTAGCTTGTTGCGATTTCAGTGTACTGATAAGCAAATTTCCTACTGTGCGATATGTTCTGTGGGCAACTTGAGTGACAGGAAAAGCATATTGTAAACATCTTTTACTTTTAAAGAGAGTAAGAACAAAGGTTGGTGCAGAATAATATGAATTCATTTTATTTCGTTAGGTTCTCATCAGCTGCTTACAACCTAAATTATTTGAAATTCAACGTTATTATAGATATTGACATACTTATACAATAGAGGGCGATGAAGGATGAATATATGTAACATAATGTGGTAAAGATTTCGTTAGAGTTAATGAGGTCATAAAAGTTTTTTGTTTCGAATATATAGAGTTTGGGAGGGAAGGTTCCAGAAAATTGAAATAGTGATTAGAAATCATGGAATTAAAACACATTAGACGATTATGCAATGAGGTAACTGAAAATAGATTAATGTTAATAAATATGAGACTAAAAACTGCACTGACAAAAACATATCCTGCAGCTAAATTGATTGTCCTGTCCAAAACGACATGTTCTTTGACACAATCAAAGGTCGACAGGTATCCCTTTCATGTTACCACCAACTGTGTATACAAATTTACATGTATCTGCCAAAGCAGTTACATTGGTAGAACAGAAAGGAGAGCCTACGTCCGATTCAAAGAACATATTCCGAAGAGTTTGAGATCAAACGGACTAAAAGCATTTAGCAGCGCTGTCGCAAGACATCTCATTGACACAGGACACGAAGTCGATATACTGAAGTCCTTCAGGGTGATCAACAAACAATCAAATTCAAACCTTTTGAAATTCGCGGAAGCAATAGCAATCAAACGTTTAAAACCAGATCTTTGTATACAAAAAGAAACAGTAATAAATCTTTCTTTGCCCTGGTAACATTCACCCCACCCCCTTTTATTTTATTTTATTTATTTTTATTACGTCATTTCAACTCTTTCTGAATTTTATAATTACATCATCATTCATAACTGACCAATTTCAATTCATATCTCTCTTTATTAACATTAATCTATTTTCAGTTACTTCATTACATAATCGTCTAATGTGTTTTAATTCTATGATTTCTAATCACTATTTCAATGTTCTGGAACCTTCCCTCCCAAACTCTATATATTCGAAACAAAAATTTTATGACCTCATTAACTCTAACGAAATCTTTACCACATTATGTTACATATATTCATCCTTCATCGCCCTCTATTGTATAAGTATGTCAATATCTATAATAACGTTGAATTTCAAATAATTTAGGTTGTAAGCAGCTGATGAGAACCTAACGAAATAAAATGAATTCATATTATTCTGCACCAACCTTTGTTCTTACTCTCTTTAAAATAATAAAGGGAACTATGTGTATGAAAAATCTTTTACTTTCTTAAATTGCGAAATGCCACTTCAAGATTGTCGTGTGTTAATAATTAGTCTGTCCATACGAAGTGGAATAATCGAGAAGATCATCCATCCAGGTTGTTTTGATGATTTCTAAACATTGATGATTAAACATGTCATCTCAAGTACAAAAACACTGTTTAGCTTCTGCAAATGTATATCACATTTGCACTAACTAAGTATCTGTTTGTTTATCAAATGCCAATTATCCTGCTCAACATTCTTCGAAGTATTGACCGTCTACGATGGAATCTCACCTGTTAAGAAATCAAGCAATGTCAGAAATGCATCCATTCCTTATTTTTTTCACAGAAATCTTAAATTTAAAATTGTTTGTTTTATATTTTTCATTCTCTACGTCCATTCACATAACCTTCGAGCTACATTCCCAACGTTTGGTTT